TTCATTCATCTAAATATTACAAGATTTATAAGAAGATTAACTACATAGGTCCTACTTTTATAACTTTTTTTTCCTGAGTTTAAAGTGTATGTGTTTTTAGGGAAAAAAATTCTCAAACATCAATGAGTAGGAAAATAACTCATTGTCTACATCTTTTGGTCAAAAGGTAAAAACAACCAATTCATTAAAATTTAAACATAAAAATATTAGTGAAAAATCTTGTGAGCACTTAAAAAGTAGTAGAAAAATTCATTGTGTTTATTCTAGTCAATACTCTGCCAGTGCTTCTTTGGACTTCTGTATTTATTTTTCAGTGGATATTTTATTACTCTGTCTTTACAAATTCAGACAGTATACTTTGGGTTTAAACACATGTAATAGTAATAAGCCAATCTTAACATATATGGTAAAATCATCACATTAAGAATCACACATTATTTGCATATATATACATATGTGTGTGTGTGTGTGTGTGTGTTGATGTTGTTAGGTGCTTGTTGAGTTGGTTGCAACTCACAGTGATCCTATGTACAATGTAACAAAACACTACCCAGACATGTGCCATTCTCACAATTGTTGCTATACTTGAGCCCAATGTTCCACCCACTGTGTCAATCCATCTCATTGATGGTCTTCCTCTGTGACCCTTTATCAAGCATGATGTCATCCTCCAGAGAATGGTCCATCCTGATAACATGTACAAAGTACATGAGATGAAGTCTCACCATCCTGAGCATTCTGGCTGTACTTCCTCCAAGAGGAAATTATTCATTTTTCTGCTATTATTGTTGGGTGCCAATGAGTTGACTCTGACTCATAGCAACCCTAAGTAAAACAGAATGAAATACTTTTTGTTCCTGCTTGTGCCCATTGTTGAACCCACTATGTCAATTCATCTTGTTGAGGGTCTTCCCTCTTTTCACCGACCATCTACTTTATCAAGCATTATATCTTTCTCCAGGGAATGATCCCTACTGTCAACATGGCCAAAGTACATGAGTTGAAATCTGACCATTCTCCTGTAAGGAGTATTCTGGCTGTACTTCCAAGACAGATTTATTCATTCTTCTGGTAGTCAATGGTATTTTCAGTATTGTTTCAGGACCCTTGTTCTTTTTCAATTCCATCAGTGAGGCTTGAAATTCTCAATTCAATACCATGGGTTCTTGATCATATGCTCCTTCTTGAAATGTTGGAATGTCCACCATTTGGGAGGGGGGGTACAGTGACTCTCTATATTCCTTCTATTTTCTTCTGATGCTTCTTATATCATTCAATATTTTGCCCATCAAATCCTTCAGTACTGCAATTCAAGGCTTGCATTTTTTCATCAGTTTTTTTCAGCTTGAGAAATGCTAAGTGTGATCTTCCCTTTTGGTTTTCTAACTCTTAGGTCTTTGTACATTTGATTATAATACTTTACTTTGTCTTCTCGAGCCACCCTTTGAAATCTTCTATTCAGCTCTTTCTTTTTTAATCTTTTTTCCATTTGCTTTAGATTTTCTCCATTCAAGAATATGTTTCAGAGTACCTTCTGACATGCATGTTGGTCTTTTCCTCCTTTGTTGTCTTTTTAATGACCTTTCATTTTTTTCAAATATGATGTCCTAGATATCATCCCTCAGCTCATCTTGTTTTCAGTCATTGGAGGTTAATGTGTCATATCTACTCTTCATCTGGTCTCTGAATGCAGGTGGGATAGAGTCAAGGTTGTATTTTGGTTCTGAGGGACTTGTTTTAATTTTCTTTAGCTTCAACTTAAATTTGGCCTTGTTCTGACTGACAATACTGAGTTACTCCATAGCCTCTTTCCACAGATGTTGCCTATTTAATTCCTGTTTATTCTATCTGGTGAGGTCCATACATATAGTCACTGTTTACATTATTGGGGAAAAAAAATAGGTATTTGCAACGAATAAATCATTAGTCTTGCAAAATTCTATCATGTGGTTCTGGCATCATTTCATTCACCAAGGCCATGCTTTCCAACTACCAATGTTGCTTCTTTGTTTCCAACTTTCACATTCCCATTACCAGTAACTACCAATACATCTTGATTGAATGTTTGGTCAATTTCAGACTACAGAAGATGGTAAAAGTCTTCAGTTTCTTCATCGTTGGCTTCAGTGGTTGGTGCATAAAATGAATAGTAGTAGTATTAACGAATCTTTCTTGTAGACACATGGATGTTTTCCTATCACTGAGAGCATTGTAGTTCAGAACAGATTTTGAAGCATTCTTTGTGACAATGAATGCGACACTATTCCTCTTCAATTTGTCATTCCCAGAATAGTAGGCCATTTGATGGTCTGATTCAGAATAGCCAAAACCAGTCCATTTCAGCTCACTAATGACGAGGATATTGATCTTCATGCAGTCCATTTCACTTTTGACAACTTCCAATTTCCCTAGATTCATACTTCAAACATTCCATGTCCTCATATTAATGGATGTTTGCAGCTGTTTCTTCTCATTTTCAATCTGCCACATCAGCAAATGAAGGTCCCAAAAGCTTTACTCCATTCATGTAATTAAAGTTGACTCTACTTTGAGGAGGCAGCTCTTCCTCAATTGTATTTTGAGTGCTTTCCTACCTGAGGGACTCATCTTCCAGCTGTATATCAGACAGTGTTTCATTGCTACTCATAAAGTTTGCATGGCCATTATTTTTTCCCAGCAGTCTATGGTCCCATCCTTTTTTCTAGTCTGTTTTATTCTGGAAATTCTGCTGAAACATCTCCACCATTTGTAACCCTGCTGGTATTTGATATAAATGCCATAAATTCCAGCATCACAGCAACATGTAAGCCACCGCAATATGACAAACTGACAAACGAGTGTTTTGGTAGTCAGTCCATAGTGTATTTAATATTTGCCAAAACTATAATTCAAAGGTATCAATTCTTCTTTGTTGTTGTTGTTGTTAAGTGCCGTCAAGTCGTTTCCGATTCATAGCGACCCCACGCACAGCAGAACGAAACACTGCCCGATCCCGCGCCAGCCCCACAATCCCTGCTATACTTGAGCCCATCATCGCAGCCACCGTGTCAATCCATCTCGTTGAAGACCTCCCCTTCTTTTGTCGACCTTCCACCCTACCAAGCATGACATCCTTCTCCAAGGAATGGTCCCTTCTTACAACATGACCAAAATAGATGAGACAAAGTCTGGCCATTCTTGCTTCCAAGGAGCATTCTGGCTGCACTTCCTCCAGGATAGATCTGTTAGTTCTTTTAGCAGTTCATGGTACTTTCAGCATTCTCCGCCAGCACCACAACTCAAAAGCATCAACTCTTCGTCAGTCTTCCTTATTCATTGTCCAGCTCTCACATGCATACGAGGCAATTGGAAATATCATGGCTTGTGTCAGGCGCACCTTAGTCCTCAAGAAGATATCCTTGCTCCTGAGCACTTGAAACAGTTCCTTTGCAGTTGACTTTCCCAATGCTACACATCGTCTAATGTCCTGACTGCTGCTTCCGTTGGCATCAATTGTAGAACCAAGCAACGTGAATTCTTTGACAACCTCAATCTTCTCTCCATTTATTGATGAATATTTATTATTCTTCTTTAGTCTTCCATATTCATTGTCCAGTTTTCACATGCAGATGAGGTGACTGAAAATACCACAGCTTTGGTCAGATAGTCTTCAAAGTGACGTCTTCAAAGTGACGTCTTTTTGCTTTTTAACACTTTAAAGAGATCTTTGCAGCAGATTTGCCCAGGGCGAAACATCATCTGATTTCTTGACTGCTGCTTCCATGGGTGTTGATTGTGGATATAAGTAAAATTAATTCTCTGGCAACTTCAATCTTTCTTCAGTTTACTATGATGTTGCTTACTTGTCCAGTTTTGAGGATTTTTGTTTTTATGCTAAATTGTAATCCACACTGAAATTTATAATCTTTGATCTTCATCAGTAAGTGCTTCAAGTTTTCTTCACTCTCAGAAATCAAGGTTGTGTCATCTTCATATCTCAGGTTGCTAATGAGTCTATCTCCAATTCTAATGCTGTGTTCTTGTTTATATTATCAAGCTTCTCAGATTATTTGCTCAGGATACAGATTTATAGATCTGGTGAAAGGATATGACCCTTACACACAACTTTGTTGATTTTAAACCATCCAGTGTTCCCTATAATAAAATATAAATATTTCTTTTCTATTCACGATTTCTCTATTTCTGGATAGTGTAGTTTCCAATTCTACCTGCTCAACTATTAACTTTAATGTTGGCAGGTCAAATGAACTCAGCAGTACTGCAGAAGAATAGACCTGGATCTGGTTCTCTTAAGATTATAGTCAAGAAAACCCAATGGAGCAGCTCTACTCTGATACCCATGAGGTTTCCATGAGTTGGAATTGACTTCACAGAAACCCCCACCACCATCAACAACAGGAGTGCAAACTGTTTTTAACTTTCATAGATTGTTTAGCCAAGACTATATACAGACTACCAATGACAAAAAAAAAAAAAAAAAAGTAGTGCCTAAGGCACTTGACTGCTAACCAGAAGGCTGGCAGTTCAAACCCACCAGCCACTCCTCGGAAAGAAGGTTGGGCAATCTACTTCTGTAGTGATACTGCCTCTGCAACCCAAGGAGGGGTTGCTATGAGTATAGTCTGACTCGACAGCACATAACAACAGCAATAATAACAAACATTATGGTTAACTTTTAAATGACAAAAATGTTCCTATGACCAATCTGCCTTAAGCCAAAAGATAAGCTCCTACCTCAGTTCTGTGTGCTTTCCAAAGCCCAGAGACATAGATGACAAGCATTTTAGTGTTTTTCAGCACTCTCTTTTAGTATGTTTGCATAATCTCTAAAAAACGTTGAGTATACAGTTTCATTAACTCTATTTAAGACAGCTTTGCAAACACCATTCAAAGCCTTTCACCAAAGCTGAACTCTGCTATGAGATTATGGAATGGCCCTAGTGTGGACTGGACATTGCACAACTATGAGCTAATTAACTAACAAGAATTTTATCAAGAAGTTACCACATACTTATTGCCACTATCATATGGGCCATTTTGATGTTGTCATAAATCCAGCAAGCTCCTTTAATTCCACATTCATTAATATCCCACAGAATACATGTGCTGTCAATTGTCATACCAAATATAATTGGTCCAGGTATTGTGCCTAGAAGAATGACATGTGAAATACATGTGAGTAAAGATTACAGTTTATAATTAGAGATTTTTATATACATAGTTTTACATATTTCCACATGCAAATTAAACCAATTCATTAAAAGTCAAAGCAATAAAGAAACAGAGAAAATCCCCTAAAATAATTTCATTTATTTATTTGATTTGGAAATTATTTTAATAAAAAGCTCTAAGAAATACTGAGCTAACAGGTATGTAAATGTTTTTAATTCACTGCTTCTCTAACTTGATGAATGTCTTTGAAATTAGCCCTCATACTTTAAAAACCCAAAATAAATTATTTTTTATGTATAAATAAGTCTACTGAACTACAGTATATATGTTATTTATACGTGTGTGTATATAAACTAATGTGTGTGTATACATGACAATGTATACAGGTATACATACACACCTACTAACATGACTAAGAGTTCTACTGTCTCACACATACCTCCTCCATAAAACACTAAACTTCCACACAACAAAGGGACTTCAAATTTTTACAAATCAAATATGTGATCTGAGGTGTTATATATTAGACAAAGATTCCAGCAACCTTCAGCCTGTTCTTTCATTACCTGCAGCATGATAGACTACTTAGAGCACTAGACTGAGAGTTCTCTTTTCTAGTCTCATTTCCACTACTTAATTGTGGGAATATGGGCAAATGTCTGTACCTCTCAGAGCCTTAATGCACTTATCTGATAAATTTGAAAGGTGATTTCTAATACTCCTTCCAGCTTTTTGTTACCTTAAGAAAATGAATTGAGTATTATGTTTATTATGTTTCTATCTTTCTTCTTACTTTTCCTACATCTGGGACCTTATAAATTCTCTGGTCTAAATTCATTCTGCCATCAGTTCTCAACTAGCCAAAATATCTGTATCACAGTTTTTATTGAAACATTTTACTTCATTTTTCATTGTTAATGCAACACAATAGTACCACAAACTGAGATGGAAACAGAGAGAAAAGGCATTGTAGCAATAATAAATAAGATTTTATCATAATTGATGCTGTTAGTAGATTTTATATGAATATATAAAAATAATCTTTTACTATGCTCCATTAGGAGCTCTGGTAGCATAATGGCTAAAGCACTTGACTGCTAACCAGAAGGCTGGCGGTTCAAACCCACCAGCCACTCCTCGGAAGGAAGGTTGGGCAATCCTACTTCCGTAGTGATACTGCCTCGGAAACCCAAGGAGGGGTCGCTATGAGTCGGGGCCGACTCGACGGCACATAACAACAACAACAACATGCTCCATTAGAAATGTGTTAATGCTAATACTTTAGATCTCAAATAAACACAATATAACCTCTAAGGTTATATTTGCAACAGAGTTAGAAACAACAGTTAACCAATAACTATGTGGGAAGTGAAGCTATTATTTTCTTATATCATATGTAAATAATATTATATCTTAAATAGTGGAAAACTGTTTTTCTCAACAACTATGTAGCTTTCCATATACTTAAGTTAAATTAAATATTTTTCTTAGCACATATAAATGAATGAATCAACAAAATTAACAAATCAAAACAGTCAACAACTACCAGTGAACTATGAAAAATAGCATACCCAATAATCGGAGAAACATAAACTGTATTCCCAAAGCTAGAGACCGTTGATTGTTATTAACACACCTAGAAAGATTAAATACATAATAGACCAAAAATTATTATATAGCATATTTACTTTCTGGTCAAGTTCATTTTTTATACCTGCTTAGAATCTCTACATTAAAGTAATTGTTGCATATGTGAAATAAATTATTTGTAAGTGCTTGTATACAATTTAGTCCTCCTAAAATTATAAAAGAAAAAATATGCTATCTGAGCTAAAATACTGCAAACAACAAGAAAAAGTCATTCATCTCTATGAATTTTAATAAATGTAAGGAAAAAGGCAATTCATTAACAAGACTTATTCCTGATTATCACTATTAACTTAGTTGCAAGCAAAGAATTCTTACTTTATTTTTACTAACTTCTAGACAGAAATTATATCTACTGACTTAGAGTAAAAAATTAAGGGAAAGTAAAATGGTTGCTGAAGTTCAATATGATTCAACAAGAATTCTTTAGAAAGTAAAATGGTTGCTGAAGTTCAATATGATTAAAGAATTCAAGAATTCTTTAAATAATGACTGTGGGCCAGTCAAAGATAAATGAGACATGATGTCATCACACAAAAAAGAAAGATTCAAGAAAAAGAGATCAATCAGCCTTTAATAACAAGTAGTCAAAAGGTGACTTATCTAATTTTTCAAAAATAAACTTTTAAAAGGATTTTGTTTGTTTGTTTCTAAGTACCTCTGCAGATTTCCCAATAGTGTAGCGTTTCCATCCACTGTTATCGAGTCAATTCTAACTCACAGAGACCCTTTAGAACAGAGTAGAACAGACCCATAGGGTTTCCAAGGCTGGTGGGTTTAAACTGTCACCCTTGGGGTTAGGAGCCCAATGCTTTAGCCACTACAGTATCAGACCTCCTTAGTATAATGTTATGGTCTATTTCATAATACTTTTTGACAGAATCTCTATACTTTATGCTTGTCAAAAAATGTATAAAGATAGAGAGGGGATATTAAAGAACAAAAGATTGAAATATACAGAACAACTAGAAAAGACACAGACTGGCAAATGAGCCTATGTAGGAGCAGACAAGAAGTATTTTCCTAAAATGGTACAGAAATCTACTGACGAAGAACAATTCATCACCACACAGCACAAAATACTGTGACAGATAACAGCCAACTTATCTACTATCCCAATATATAGCAAAGTTTACTAGCACCTCATATATAAGTAGAAAAATGTCATTTTGATTCTGGCATACATGGGTGTGACAGTTAACGTCATGTGTCCAATATAATTCTCAAGGAGCTCTGGTGGTGCTGTGGTTAAGGCATTGGCCTACTAACCTCAGAGGTAGGTGGTTCAAACCCACGTATCTCTCCCTGGGAGAAAGATGAGATAATCTGCTTCCAGAATGATTTAGAGCCTTGAAGACCCTATGGGGGTCAGTATGAATCAGAATCAACTCGATGACTGTGGGTATAATTTTGGGCTTAGTATGGTCCCCACTGGTGTGGCAAAATACTAGTCTAGTTCCTATTCCACAATGTAATATAATGTTATCACATTTTAAAAATGTAAATCTAATGTAATGGGAGCTCTGGTAGCATAGTGCCTCAGGCACTTGACTGCTAACCAGAAGGCTGGCAGTTTGGAAGGAAGAAGGAGCAATGTACATCCATAGTGATACTGCCTCGGAAACCCAAGGAGGGGTCACTATGAGTCGGTCCGACTTAAGGGCACATAACAACAACAACAACAATATAATGTAACTAATCAGTTGAAAAGAAGTTTCCTTAAGATGTGTTCTGCCTTCAGACTATAAGCATATGTTTTGGCATAACTCACCCTTTCTCCACTTTGCACTCTTTCTGTTGCCTGACCTACAGATATTGAGATGTAAGCCTGAAGGAGTCTCCAGTTTCCTACCTAATCTATGGATTTTGAACTTGCCACCCTCCCATGGTCCTGTGAGCTAATCTCTCTTCTAGATAGAAATAAGTAGATTTATACAGATAGGGATATATCTCACTGTTTTTGTGTCTCTAGAGAAACTTAACACATTGAGACATTTTTACACCAGAAATGGGAGTATTTAGTCATACTCAAATATAGTTGAACATTATCTCCAGCTTACAATGGAAGCCTCATAAAAGAAGCAAGGAAACTAACATCAAATAGATGCTACATATGCAATGTTAAAACACTTTCTTATATATAATCTTATTTAAACTACAAACAACGGCCCTCAATAAGGTACCTTATAAAATGCCACAGAATTAACAATCTGGTAAAGGCTGCCTTGGATTGGAACCCATGGTAAATATAATCCCCAACGAATCTCTGATTTCATTTTCTCTTCACTAGCCATGTTGTCATAGGGACTTCAAATTTCAAAATATAATACGTACCTAAGTATGGACACAGTTATAGGAGTACCAGCCATAAAGGAAAAAATAACAGTAACAAAGAAAATGCTAAGGAATATGGGCAACTTTGCACATTGAGTTTCACATTTTCCTGGTTTAGCTTCAGAACCAAAACTTTCTGCAGCAGATGTTATCTTTGTTTTCCTTTCAATACAGGAGCAGTTGTAATAGGTCTAGAAATATTAGACATAAAAATACTAAAAATGTGTATTTTGAGATACATACTATAAACGATCATTTTAATATCTGTAGACTAGATAATATTAGAAAAAATGTTCATCATTTTTCAGATTCAGTTTTACTTCTCCTTAGAAAGATAAACTTTAAATGTGTTCATTACATATGAAATTATCTATCTATATACATACACACACATATATAAATATTTATATATATAAACATATATATATAAACATTTTGTTGCACTTGTTGTTATAATCTGTATTGAAGTACACTTATTTTTTTATAATGTCCCAATTTCCTGTTATATAGGAAAAGGAATTCTATTTCATTTTCCCATATTTCAAGTATTCAAGATTGTGATGTGTTATCATATAATTCTTACATATATTATTAATTGTGGTCTCTTATTGTATATATTTCCCTCATGTCCTCCTAAAGTTAAAAAATTATCTGCTAATGTGAAAAACATTAGGTATTACTAGTAATCCAAATAATATTTATCCTTAAGACTTTTAAATTTAGCTAAGATTAAATCTTTAGATTATACCTGTAGATGTACTATAATAAAATTCTAATGGCTTCTCTTAAACAGTTTAACTGTATATGTAAAAAATAAAATAACATCTGAGTAAACTGATATGCACTCTAACTCAGAATTAAAGGAAATTTCTATTTAAGAATAAATTAATGGTTTGAACATTTAAAAATTCATCTATGGTGTATCACATATAATCAAGAAATATTTATTAACTTTCTTTCATATATACTGTAATAAATAAGAATACCTATTCACTGTCTTCAAGGGGATTAAAATATTGCTAGGAAAAAAAAACTATGTAAAAAGGTAAATAGTATGTCACCACTACAACAGAAGAGATGCTACAAAAATATGACTCAAAGGCACATAACAACAACAACAACTGCCAAGTGGATTGCTCATCAATAATTTCATCAGGTGTGTGAAGTAGTCAGCTGGAATGATTGGAGGCTGTTTAATGGAGTAGGTGAGACAGGAGGGAAAGAATAGATACTGCCTAACTCCACTAGGGGAGCTCTGGTAGTGAAGTGCCTAAGGCATTCGACTGGAAACCAGAAGGCTGGCAGTTCAAACCCACCAGCCACTCCTTGAAAAGAAGACTGGGCAATTTACTTCTGTAGTGATACTGCCTTGGAAACCCAAGGAGGGGTCTCTATGAGTTGGATCTGACTCGACGGCAGTGACTTTGGCTTTGGGGTTTTAACTCCACTAGAGATCTAACGGGAGCTCTGGTAGCATAGTGGCTAAGGCACTTGACTGCTAACCAGAAGGCTGGCAGTTCAAACCCACCAGCCACTCCTCGGAAGGAAGGTTAGGCATTCCTACTTCCATAGTGATACTGCCTCGGAAACCCAAGGAGGGGTTGCTATGAGTCGGAAGGAGGGGTTGCTATGAGTCGGGGCCGACTCGATGGCAAACAACAACAACAACAGAGATCTAACAGGTCACCAATCACAATACACAATCACATTGCCTCACTAAGAGTAGGTCAAGTCACCTTACCTTTGGCTGACTTTTTGAAACAGAATTTATACAACCTGCAAAGCAGGGAGAAAAATATTGAACTCCATCTTCACCACAGAGAGGATAATAATATGATCGCAAACAGTTGCAATTGGCATTACAAGGAGCTGTCAAATTTCCCAGCTGTCCTGTCCTATAAATTAAAAATTCAATGAGAAAAAATTAAATATGCTTAAAGAACAGTTCAGAAGCATTGTTGTGTGTTGTCATTAAGTAATTTATTCATTCACTCAACACATATTTAATTGCTGTATGAAAAAATAAACAAAATCCCTGCCTTCAACATAGAGTTTAAATTCTTAAAGTGGAAAAAGTAGTAAAAACAATATTTACTTAACATAATGTCTTTCCAAGATAAGAAAGATGATGCAGAGTAAGAGAATAAACCTGAATTTTTCATTTAGACAAGGTAATTCTTTGCTGTGTGGGGCTAGTCTCATGAATTATGAGATTAGATTAGCATTATCCCTGGTCTCTACTCATTAGATGCCTACAGCATCTGCCTCAGAGGTGACAAACACAAATTTCTCCAGACACGGCATTTTCTAGGGACAGGGGAATGTGGAGCAAAATTGTCCCCTGCTTGAGGAGTATTGTAACAAATAATGGAGGGAAATGGGGCTATTTTAGACTTAGCAATCAGGACTAGTCTCTGTAAGGATGAGCATTTGACCAGATACTGAAACCTTTCAGTAAGATTAGAAAATAAAATCCTTGCTTAAAAATCTGTTTACAATTATAATTTACAAAAAAAAAAAAAAAGAATTCAAGTGATTTAATATTCCCTAAATGTGGTTCAGTAGAGCTTTCTTGCAGCATATTTTAATATCAAAGACATTTATGTTCCCAACATAACTAAACGGAGTGAATATGTCATCATAAAAGTTTCTATCACCTTCCCTCAAACCGGGTCAAAATATAATACTAAAGACAATGGTATGTGTATGGGGGAGATGTTGCAGTAGTAGCTGTTACATTGTTGGGTTTCAATTCACATGACCTTGTGCAGAACAGAATGAAACATAGTCCAGTCCTGCACAACACTCACAATCATTGCAATGTTTGAGGACATTGTTGCAGCCAATATGTGAATCCATCTCATTCGGGGTCTTCTCTTTTCACTTTACCAACCATTAAGTCCTTCTCTAGGGACTGGACTTTCCTGATTACATATCCAAAGTACATTTGACAAAGGCTTGCCATCCTTACTCCGAAGGACCATTATGACTATACTTCTTCCAAGATATATCTGTTCATTCTTCTAGCAGTCCACAGTATATTTAATATTCTTCACCAACATAATACAATGACATCAATTCTTCTTCAGTTTTCCTTGTTGATTGTCTAGCTTTCCCATGCATATGAAGTTATTGAAAATACTATGGCTTTGGCAGATGCACCTTAGTCCTCAAAGTGACTTCTTTGATTTTTAACACTTAAAATATGCCTTTTGCAGAAGATTTGCCCAATGCAACATTTCAATTGTTTTCTTTACTGTATCTTCATGGGTGATTGTGGTTCCAAGTAAAATGAAATTCTTGACAACTTCAATCTTTTCTCCATTTATTATGGTATAGCTTACAAGTCCAGTTATGCATAATTGTTTTCTTTATGTTGAGATGTACTACATATTGCAGATTGTAGTCTTTTATCTTTATCAGTAAAGTGCTTCAAGTCATCTTCACTTTCAACATACAAGGTTGTGTCATCTGTATATCACAGGTTGTTAATGAGTCTTCCCCCAATCCTGATGCCACATTCTTCTTCATTATCATCAAGTTTCTTGGGGTTATTTGCTCAGCATACAGACTGAATAAGTAGAGTAAAAGGATATAACTCTGATGCACACTTTTCCAGTCTCAAACCAGGCAGTTTTCCCTTGTTCTGTTCAAATGACTGCCTCTTGGTCTATGTTCAGATTGCACAAGAGCACAATTAATTATTCTGGAATTCCTATTCTTCTCAATGCTATCCATAATTTGTTATGACCCACATAGTCTAATGCCTTTTCATAGCCAATAAAGCAAGGCAAACATCTTTCTGGTATTCTCTGCCTTCAGCCTATATCCATCTGACATCAGCAATGATATCCCTCATTACACATCCTCTCCTGAATCCACATTGAATTTCTAGCAGTTCCTTGTTGATGTACAACTACAACTGTTCTTGAATTATTTTCAGAAAATTTTTCTTGTGAGTGATACTAATGATATTGTTCGATAATTACTGCATTCTGTTGGATCACTTTTCTTTGAAATAGGTACAAATATGAATCTCTTCCAATTGGTTGGCCAGATAGCTGGTCTCCCAAATTTATTGGCATAAATGAGAAAGCACATCTAGCATTTCATCCATTTGTAGAAACGTATTCTGTCAATTCCTGGTTTCTTGTTTTTACTGGTCCTTTCAGTGCAGCTTGGACTTCTTCCTTCAACACCATCTGTTTTTGATCATATGTTACCTCCTGAAATAGTTGAATGTTGACTGATTTTTGGTGTAGTGACTGTGTATTCTTTCCATCTTCTTTTGATGCTGCCTTGTCAATCAATATTTTCTCCATAGAAGCTTTCAGTATTGCAATTCGAGGCTTGAATTTGTTCTTTGATTCTTTCAGCTTGAGAAATGCCAAGCATGCTTTTCCCTTTTGTTTTTTTAACTCCAGGTCTTTATGCAATTAATTATAATACTTAATGGGGCACTTTTAAAATCCATTCAGTTCTTTTACTTCATCATCTGTTCCTTTTGGTGTAGCTATTCTACATTCAAGAGCAAGTTTCAGAATCTCTTCTGACATCCATTTTGGTCTTTTCTTTCTTTCCTGTCTTTTTAATAAAATAATCTTTTTCTTTCCTCATGTATGATTTCCTTGATGTCGTCCCACAAACTTGCCTGATCTTTGTTTATTATTGGTCAATGCATCTAATCTATTCTTGAGATGATCTTCAAAATCAGGTGGGATACACTCAAGATCATATTTTCATTCTCATGGACTTGTTTTCATTTTCCTCAGGTTTACCTTGAAATTGCATATGAACAGTTAATGACCTTTTAGCCCCTGATCTTGTTCTGACTGATGATATTGTGCTTCTCAAGCATCTCTTCCCACAGATGTAATCAATTTTATTCCTATGTACACCGTCTAGTGAGGTCCACATGTTTAGTCACCATTTATGTTGAAAAAGGATATTTCCAAAGAATTATGTCATTAGTCTTGCAAAATTATGTCATGCAATCTCTGGTATCATTTCTCTTGCCCAGGCCACATTTTCCAATCTTACTAATCTTTCTTTGTTTCCAACCTTCATATTGCAATCACCAATATTTATCAATGCATCCTGATTACAGAAGTTGGTAAATTTCTTCATCATTGGAATTAGTGTTTGGTGTATAAATTTTAATAGTTGTATTAACTAGTCTTCCTTGGAGGCATAGGGACATCATCACTGATGGCACTGTACTTCAGAATAGTTGGGGATTTTTTTGTTGTTGTTGTTTTGACAATGAAGATGATGCCACTGTTCTTCAATTTGTCATTTCTAGCAGAGTAGATCATATGATTGTCTGATTCAAAATGTCCAACACCAGTCCATTTCAGCTTATTAATTCCTAGAATATTGACCTTCATGCATTCCATTTCATTTTTGATGACTTCCAACTTTCCTGGACTCATACTTCATACAGTCCACATTACAATCATTATTGGATGTTTACAGTTATTTCTTCTCATTTTGAGTCATGCCACATCAGCACACCAAAAACTTTACTCCATCCACATCATTAAAGTTGACTCTATTTTGGGAGGCATCTTTTCCAGTTGTATAATAAGTGTCTTCCAACCCTGGAGTTCATTTTCCAGTATTATATCAGACAATGTTTCACTGCCATTCATAAAGTTTTCACTGGACCATTTTTTTTTTCAGAAATATATGGCCGGGTCCTTCTTCCCAATCTGTCTTAGTCAGGAAGCTCTGTTGAAATCTGTCCACCCTGGGTGATCCTGCTGGCATTTGAGATATTCATGGCATAGCTTCCAGAATCACAGAAACATGCAAAGCTAAAAGGTAGATTGATCAAGTGCACAATTACAGTTATGAGAGAATACAGATTAAAAGTCTTTTCTGCTAAAACGTAATATTGAGCAGTGACCTGAAACCAAATCTAAGCAGTTTAACAACTATATATATATATACATATATATAGTTTCAATAAGGTTTTCATCTGCAATCAACCCTCAATTATCCACAAGAACAATAATGACATAGAATGTGAAATTCTTCCAGGGATATGAATCACAAATAAGGGAAGCCATTCTATTATATTCATCTTTTTATACTTGATCCAAGCTTGCCAGTTGCTCCTAAATGCTTTCTGAATATATACCCCTACATTTCATGAAGATATCAATTATGAAAACTGAAAAAATACCTACATGTTCTTATATAAGAAAAAGCCTTCCAATAATATAAAAGGTCAAATCCTCAGCATTTGTTTAAGAAAGTATGTATTTGGATATAATCATGTAGTTTTCAATTTGTTATTAATATCAAAGAGCACTGACATATATTTACCCATTATATGATTCTGACACACCAGCAATGGGCCCATTTTCACATTTGACATAAAGAAACACAAAACTCAGCAGAAGTGCAACTGCAGATGTGCACAATGAAAACTTCATTGCATTTTTACATGTCCATTTGAACTTTGAAACAAGGACACCACCTAATATCTGACCAAGAGCAGCTCCAGGAATTAAAACAGCCCCTAAAAGGAAAGAAAAGACAGACCATGAGAAAACACCCAGTATACTGAGAAATTCAGAGTAGCAATTGGAAAATATCAAAATATTTACCAATATGATCTGCACATATTACTCACTTGACTTAGGAATATATGCATATACAACTTAAGAGTTTCACAAAGTAAAAGATTAATACAATTTGTCTTTAGCAATATAAACTATCTAACTCTTAAGTTCATACTATATATTGTGAAATGTCAACAAATCAGAAAATTTTATCAAAATCAGTATAAAGTATAAATTTCAGAGTGAACTATCCATAATTGCAGACTATACTATAAACATCTCAATCTATATGCTGAGCAAATAATCCGAGAAGCTGGACTATATGAAGAAAAACGTGGTATCAGGATTGGAGGAAGAATCATTAACAACCTGAGATATGCAGACGATACAACTCTGCTTGCTGAAAGTGAGGATGACTTAAGGCACCTACTGATGAAGGTTGAAGAATACAGTCTGCAGTATGGATTACATCTCAACATAAAGAAAACAAAAATCCTCACAACTGGACCAATGAGCAGCATCACAATCAATGGAGAGAAGATTGAGGTTGTCAAGGAATTCACATTGCTTGGTTCTACAATCGATGCCAACGGAAGCAGCAGTCAGGACATTAGATGTCGTGTAGCATTGGGAAAGTCAACTGCGAAGGAACTGTTTCAAGTGCTGAGGAGCAAGGATATCTCCTTGAGGACTAAGGTGCGCCTGACACAAGCCATGATATTTCCAATCACCTTGTATGCATGTGAGAGCTGGACAATGAATAGGGAAGACCGAAGAAGAGTTGATGCTTTTGAGTTGTGGTGCTGGCGAAGAATGCTGAAAGTACCGTGGACTGCTAAAAGAACTAACAGATCTGTCCTGGAGGAAGTGCAGAATGCTCCTTGGAAGCAAGAATGGCCAGACTTCGTCTCACCTATTTTGGTCATGTTGTAAGAAGGGACCATTCCCTGGAGAAGGATGTCATGCTTGGTAGGGTGGAGCGTCGACGAAAGAGGGGGAGGCCTTCAACGAGATGGATTGATACAGTGGCTGCGATGATGGGCTCGAGTATAGCAGGGATTGTGGGGCTGGTGCGGGATCGGGCAGTGTTTCGTTCTGCTGTGCATGGGGTCGCTATGAGTCGGAAACGACTTGACGGCACTTAACAACAACAACAACAACTATAAACATCTAATGTAGTAAAGTAAAAGCATTAGCCTAAGTTAGAAAAAAAGTAAAATTTTTTACCTGCAAGCGTAGCTGCAAAGCTGGATGACAGTCCAAATTGATTTTCTATAAACTTAGGTAAAAATGTGGCAAATCCAGTAGTAACTAAGGCTTCTGAAGTAGTTGATAAAACTAAACACATAAAGACAGTATTCCTAATCAGACTCTGAAAAGAAAAAAACAGTTCACCAAGTGAATAACTATGTTTATACTGCAAGCTGCACCATTAGAATGGCAACATTATACAGTCTGTAAAATCTCAGCATTCCTTCCTGCACAAAAAATTAACAAATGATTATTAATAAATTTATATGGCAATGGTGAGAAAACTATATGTGAAGCACTTAAAGAATTTACACATTATTCCTCAGTAGGGTGACTATCTTCATGGTATGCATGACACAAGGAAAGAGGGAAAGTTTTACTTTAAATAACCTGGTGGTGTAGTGTCTAAGGCATTTGACTGCTAACCAGAAGGCTGGCAGTTCAAACCCATCACTACTCCTCGGAAAGAAGTTTGGGCAATCTACTTCTGTAGAGATACCTCCTCAGAAACCAAAGGAGGGGTCACTATGAGTTGAAACTACTCAATGGCAGTGAGCTTGAGCTTTTCTCCAGTCTTATTATAAATATCCATACTATATATCTATTTTGTATTTGATTATTTTGGTTGTTGCTATTTGAATTCCTATCTCCAGTGAATGAAGAACTTGATTGTGAACACAGATGAAAATAATTTCTAAGTAATTAACTCAGTAGTTAAAGACTATAGGTAGGTACAGAGAAACCTGGGAGAGCCAGAATTTGACCCTGTTTTTCTGGGTCTTGCAAATTTTTCACCTTAGATGCGGTGCAGTTACATTTTACTATCACTCTCAATTTAGAGAGTTTCCTTCTCTGACAGGTTTCTATCTTACATATGTTCCTGCCTTTGCAAGTTTTACTGTATAGGGTTAAGTAAATTTAAGTAAATGTCTATATTAATGGATATCTCAGAACCTTATTAACCTATCAGAGAGGAGTATAACAATGAATCCTGCCCTAGTCGCACAGAGATTAAGTGCTCAATTGCCAAGTGAATGGTCAGCAGTTTGAACCCACCAGCCACTTTTCAGGAGAAAGATATGGTAATTTGCTTCTATAAAGATTTACAGCCTATGGGATAGTTCACCTCTGTCCTATTTGGTCACTATGATTAGAGTTGACCCAATAGCAACAGGTTTGGATTTTTTGGTAACCATAAAATAAAAACCCAAATTACAATTCTGCAATATCTAAAAGAAAAAAATCACAAAATATAAATATAAATATAATACACACACACACACACACACACACATTCAGATACAGACCCACACATGGAAGTCACAAATGGGCAAAATAATAGATTTAGAAGTCAGAGCCAAGAATAACAGGAATAACATGACAAAAGGAGAAAAAGTACCTGAAGGAAAAGATGCAATATATTTTAAAATAAAATAATAATAGTGGAAAATATTTAAATCTTCAGATTGCAAAGGATTGTGAATTCCCAGAAAAGATCAATGAAAAGAAAAAGACATATACATAGATGTTATCTAGTGAATTTCCTTAAATCAAAAATAAAGAAAATTTACAAGCTTCCAAAAAGAAAGAATAAGAAAGAATCATACTGATACAGAACTTCTAAAATGCAACACAATTAACTAGAAAAGAACAAAACTACATCTTCAGATTACTAGGTTAAAGAAGTATGAACCACAAATATTCATCCAGTCCAATATATCACTCAGACATTCAGGGATGCTTAGATGGTATCTTATTTGAGAAAAAATAGCAGTAAAATAATGTATTTTTAGATATTTGAATCAGAATGGCTATCTCAGACTATAAAGATAAAAAAGTAGTGATATAAATCAGAATTAATAACATCAATTAAATAGAAATGCATGAAGTATAACAACACTAATATAAGAAAAAAATAATACGACAAAAAATATTGAATAATTTCATCAAAACACAAATGTGTGTGTTTATGGGAGGGTTGGAACATTTTGAGGCTTTGATTTGAGAAGGCAAAAGAATAATGAAAAGTAATTTCAAATACTGATAAGCTAAATTAATCAACTCTAAAGTCCATTACGGACATGATGTTTATGGTGTTAAACAGAAAACTGCTTTCCTGCTGAGAGTACAATAAAATGGCCTGTAACACATTTATTTCTTTAAATTCAAATCAATTTATCACTCAACACCACCTCTTCCATATTGGTTTAGCATTTTCAAAGACATTGCAAAAAAGGGCAAGGAGGCCACATGTTCTGACCTCCTCTAATCCCACAAGAGCAAGACAGAATCACCATCAATAGCCCAAGGCCTACTCCTGCAAGTCCAGACTTGCTGCCTCCCTCCAGCCTTTTCTCCAACCATTCCTCCCAGAGCACCCACCACCTCTCTCCTGAGTTCGATAATTCATTGCAGTGGCCACACAGAGCTCACAGATTATGGGGTTTATTAGGGAGGCACCACAGGCTACAATTCAACTTCAGGAAAAATGCTCAGTCTCTCTCCCAGCCCACTGTCCCTCAGCTAACAGTCTCTCACAGTCTCTTTCCCAGCAGTGCTGTTCCCTCAGTGTCTCACTCAGTAATGCGTGTCTCTTGTGTCTCTTTCACAGCAACACGTGTCTCAGGGGCACGTGTCTCTTTCAGCAGCGTTTCTTCCTCAACCAGCAGTCAGAGAGAGTTCTGCCTCTAGGAGGCCTCCTTTTGAACTTGGCTGAGTGGCCAAACCAACCAATCATAACAACAGAATTCTAAGCACCTGAGAATGAGCCTCCCATAACATTGCGTTGTGCCACACTCAACAAAAATAACCCAGGTGGATAACATTTACAATCAGGAGCACCTCAGTTGCTCATTTCACCACTGAGTTTACAATGACTTATGGGTAGAAAAGCCATACTAAGTAATTTACTACACTGCAGACATATTTATAATTTGATGATAATTGTTCAAGCCATTACATAAGGGAAATGTCATAGAAAAATGGAGCACAGTATTAGTGAAGAGCAACTAAACATTAATATCGCCAATAATATAACTCATGATCTTTCAAACATCCTCCTCTGAAATAATTTTCATTTATTCAAAGTAGAATAAAATAAATTTTGAAAGGTTGTTTATAAGAAATAGAACTGTAGAAAATAAGCAAACATGAATGCATTATGGAAAGATTTACATGTATGTGTATTTCTGAAGCATTTTATTTTACCTTTAAAGCAGCTGGAAAATCTTTAAAGCTTTTTCCAAAATTCTCATCCGTGTCTTGTACAGAACTACTTTTATCCTGATGAGCCTGGGAAATTTTTGCAGCTTGAATTTTTGCTGTACCTAAAATATAGCAATTGTACTTGGTATCACATTTCACTTTTAATTTTAAAAAGTTTACAAATGATACAGTTTCTTCCTACAAGTATATAAATTCCATAAAATAGAGGCCAGCTCCTCACATTTTGAACAAAATTGTACAAATACATACGTCTCTTATCTGGCATTCCTAAGAGCTAGTATTCATTTCCACTAGCTAAGAGGAGTTACAACTAGTCCAAACATTGAAATGAGAAAATTTTGCTTCAACCACATATGATTTCTTTGCATTTAAAACCTCTTTGCTTGGCAAAGAAAGTATTTACCATCTAGCACATTTTTCCTTTGAGTTTTATAATTTTACTAGCAATAAGTCTGAGAAAACAGTCATGATGGATAATTGTAAGATGTAATGGCCCACAATACAAAGGAATGAATGAGTCCACCTACTTCTACTCTGCCATCCATCTCTTCTTTTGCCCATTTTCAAAGCTAATCATCCACCCTGTTGCAATAACAATGGAAATAATTAAATACCTTCACCCCAGAGAAGATACTTGTACACTTACAGATTTGACTATATATCTTTATAGAAACAAGATCTGAGAGAGATAAATGAATCTTATCAACTACTAATATTTTCTTTAGGTACAGATGGAATAGTAGTAATATATGGTATAAAAAAATTGGCCTATGGAGCATGACTTTGGTGATAATTGAAAATGAAAATTGGTGGCATTTTCTACAACAAAAAACATGAACAATTTAAAGAATAAATGATCTTAAAATTAGTGGCTGACTACAAAGTTATAGTTTAAGAGATACTGTATCCATTAAATGGGGAAGAGAATGTTTGTTTAATAAATGGTGCTGGCAAAACTGGAGATCTATTTGCAGAAAAATGAAACAAGATCTATACCTCACACCACACACAAAAAC